CAATTTATTAAAGTTCAAATGCATATCGGAACAGACTTAGCCTTCCAAAATCCATCCTTCCAAATTGGCCCCTCAAGATCCTTCACCTATCTACACACACTTTTTCTTCTAGTGGAACTCTGTGTAAGCACTTATTGGAGAACTGCTCTAAACTGTATCGTTCAAGGCTCAGCATCCACCAAATGAGAAATGAGAGGCCCACTTGACTGAAACGTGCAAGTTCAGGGCCCCAATGCAGGGATCTTTTACTTTTTTCCTTGTGTGATTGAGTCTAGTCAAAAAACAAGTACTTGTAGTAGATTCCCACTTTTAATGGTCTTCTGGATCCTTTTATTGTAGTGAAACGCCTGATTGCGTACCATACCAAACTAATGAATCTGCTGGGGGCTGTCCTCTCTTTTGTCTCTCTCTGAGTGGGGAAACGACTTTACTGAAAGACAAGGCTATGGAAGACCTTCCAGTGGGATTTTTGAATTGCTACACCAATGACGGTCCACGGATAAGAATGCCATTTCGATGACAAATAACACCAGAGTTTTCCAACCCGTCGCCCACTACACTGATTGACGGAACCGTGGAAATCATAGTTCTTGTCATCTCTCAACCGGCGGTTATATGGAGATAACTATGGTTCCCGAGAAGTGGACTATTCGTTGCCGTAATGTATATACCAAAACATTTGATTGCTTGAATTACTCTCTGCGGCCACTCCTAGTTTTTACATACATAATAACTTATACACATATATGATATTATTAATTAATAGCGTATATGTTAAAGCTAGGCTTGAGTTGAGTTGCTTGATGTTTTGGAAGTGCAACGCTTAATTATTTGATCTCTATTTAGAACTGGTATTTGATCTTGGGATATCGAATGTGAGTTTTTGGCAAGTATTATATACTACGTATATTTTAATCCTTTTTTATGAGTACCCATTAAGTATCTAAGTACTTAATTACTCCCTATTTACTACGGAGTACGGAGTATTTAGATAAGGATTATATATTTCGTATTGGTTTTGAGAATCTTTCAGTTGGATCCCACGTAGCGTGTCGGGTAGCGACAAAACATTTGAACCTTTGTCAATTACTACTAACCATGAAAGGTAATGTTAAAGAGGTCGAAGTGGATTTTTTCGTAAAAATGCGACTTTTGGTATTTTTACCTGGTTGGTGAAATGTGAAGAAATAATTTGGGCATTAGCCGGTTCTAACGGGTGTTTCTTCTGATGAATGTTTCTTCTGCCACGTTTTGGGCATTACTGCATTAGCCGGTTTTGAAATGTTTCTTCTGCCACGTCAAGCTCTTCGGGTTTGCTGATGAATTTTTTCACATTTCATTTTTATTATTTGATTTCACCAATCCACTTTTGACGAAGTGTAAAACATATTTACAATAATTCAACTTTTTCATCTCGTTTTTTTAATGTCTATTAATTATACTTATTTGTAGGTTAGAACTTGGAACTTTTGCATTAGCAAACGTGGAGGCGAAGCTAATATTTCCCTAAATAACGACCGTTAATGTGAAGTACTCTTGTATGGAAGTCTCATTCATCGTCTTGTGGTCAATCACTCAATCCAAATCATTTTGAATCCATAGTTTTTTGCTGTATCGCATCATATTCAAGTTGGGTTTTACGTTTCAATAGAGTTCTAATATTTTTTTTTAAACAAGGAAATATATGTGATAATATTAATAAATAAAGAAAAAACATTGTTAAGTGGATTAAGGGAGTGTTTGCAATTGCTTCAACTTTAAAAAAGTGATTTTTTAAAGTGATTTTGGGGAAAGTGATTAATAGTAAAAGTTGGTAGTGTTTGAGAAAAAAGTGATTCTGAAAAAGTAAAAGTTGGTAATGTTTGGTAAAATAAGTACTTTTTGTGTAATAGAAAAAGTGAAAAGCAGTGTAAAGCACCCTTCCACCTGCTTCCAGCTTTTAGCTTTTAAGTGATTAATTTAAGCAGAAGATGTCATTTGAAAACACTCTTTTTAACTTTTTTTAAGCCAAAAGCTGAAAAGCGCTTTGTTGAAGCAACCGCAAACACTGCTTAAGTTGACTGCAATGGTAGAGAATGAAGTAGTAGTGTTACATAGTTATTTTAAGAGCTAATAACAAAATCACTTTTATGTGGATTAAACTTCTAAGAGCATCTCCATTCATGCTATCTAAATAAATGATTTCTTTATAACACGTCATTGCCACATCACATTTATTTAATAAATTTTAAATAATCTCAAAATTTAAAACTCTTCATCAACAATAATACTCAAATAATCAGTTTTTTCTGGACATGCATTAAATGTAATATAACTACAATCTTAAAATAATCCGGGATTGGAATCTTGATACCGGATTTTCTTTTTCAATAATCTCACTAAATAATCTCTCACTCACAATGATAATCCTTAAAATAATCTTACACATCATCCAATTGATCTTCAAATAAACTCATGGATGAGGATGCCCTAATAAGTTGCAACTTGCAATCATAGCAATATTTTCAAAGTAATAATAGAGAACGCTAGTTCATTCTTGTGTTTTGGTCAATAATTGACCCTTTAATTTTGAATATTCTAAAAGTTTATCATCATCGTCAATGTGTGTTACAGGTCTTACCAGTCTCATTCTTCATCAAATAGGACATTTTTTGGTTTTGCGGCTTAAGATAGTTTTCTTTTGGATTGTTTTCAGTTGCAGATTAGACCAGATCAGATCTGACAAGACCAGATCAGACCAGTAGTTATAAAATACACAGAGACCAGACGTTTACCAGGCCTGTTCAGATCAGACGAGACTAAATCAGACCAGCAAATTTCAATCCAAAAGAAGACATCCTTAGTTGTATAATAATTAAAATTAGTAAAGTTGAAATTACTTTTCAGACTGAATAGGGTGAAGAAACTAATTTTTTCATATATTTTTCTTGATTTATTAATAAAATATAAATTTTCAATTTAGCAGATTCAACCAATTCAGGCTCTTTAGACAGAACATCATACATTTCAACTGATTTAGTCGATTATGTCAATTTCAATGTTATCAAACAAAAAATAAGATATTCATTATTTTGTACAAATCAGAACAATTCATCGTAAATTGTGAAGTATAAAGGTATAGTTGATACTTGATACTCCGTACTTACGGAGTATTATTTTTTCATTCTTTGCTACTTGTTGAATAGATGTCATCGAACAAAGCGAGTGAAAACATGAGTTTATTGGTGAAGGAAAAACATTTGTGTTTCAGACATTTGGGATCCAAAAGGGTTAATTGTTTGTTATATTTTGTATAAACGTCAAATATTGTTTGTCTAAGATGTATATTACTGTATTAAATAAATACTCCCTCCGTAACATTCATATCTTCTCACTTTCCTTTTTTGGATGTAACATTTATATCTTCCCATTTATAAATCTTCCTGTCATACCCTTTAAAATTTAAAAAATAGTACCCCCGTTCTCTTTTAGTTGCAACATTAGACTTTTTGCACTATTCACATGTTCTACTTTGACTACATTTTATTAATCGATGTATAATAAATTAAATTTTTAAAAAATATTGTTAAATTATTCTCATTCTAAATTTTCAAAATATGAATTTTTTAATTTTTTTACTAATAAAGAATGAAAGATATTAATGGCCAAACTTGTGCGTTGGCAAACGTGAAATGTTGACTGCTACAATTAAAAAGGAACGGAGGAAGTAATACATTACTACACCTACTTTTTTTGGATTTATCCTTCATTCCATCACATTATTTCATCATCTTCCCATCATATTCTCAATAATTCATATCTCATTTCACTATTCTTAATCTCACCCACTTTGGAAGTGGGAAGATATATGTGATACGGAGGGAGTATAATACTACGTACATTTTTGTACTTTAATAAAATTAAGAAAATATAATTATCACCACCTATTACGTAAATCAGACCATTTATTTTGACTTAAGAGCGAATGTTCAAACAATTTTTATTATACTGCGTAATGGATAGTTATTTAAAGTAAGCAAGATGTATATTACCCGGTAAATAAATGGTCAAAATAATAATAAGTCAATACTCAATAGTACCTATTTACTTATAATAATAACACTATAATGGCAAAAGCAAGTGGAAAATTTTGACCTTCTAGGAGAAGTTACTCTATGAGTCCGTTTTGTTATTGGAATTGATCGATTCTGTTTAAATTTAAGAAGTCTCAATTGAATTGATTGATTTTGGTGTGTAAAATTTTGTTTGAATTTGCTAATTCATGAAAAAATGTTATTTAAAATATATTTTTAGAAAATAAAAAAATATACTTCTTCCGTCATATTGGACTTTGTCAAATTTTTCTTTGGGAAAATGGAAACTAATAATCCAACCTTTTAGCGGTCTTCTTTCAATAATCCCACCTTTTGATTATTCATGAATAATCCAACCTTTGCACCTCAACTTCATTCATTGAGCTCTGGTCGGTTAATGACCTACTATTCCGAGTTATTTTCTTATCTTTGCAAAATATTATCTTTGTGAAAGATGAGATTTATGGTATAATGATTTGCAAAGATAAGAAAATAGCTTGGAATAGCAGGTCATCAACCGGTCAGGGACCAATGAATGAAGATGAGGTACAAAAGTTGGATTATTCATGAATAACCAAAAGGTTGGATTATTGTAAGAAGACCGCTAAAAGGTTGGATTTTTAGTTTCCATTTTCCCTTTTTCTTTTTGGTTGTTTTAAAAAACTTTGTCACTTTTTATTAAAGCAACTAATTTGTGGTTCTGCACATTTCTCTCTCCTCTACACAAATCTCAACCACACAATTTTTACTATTCTTATTTTCCACTTACTTTGCACTTGACAAAATGAGAGTTAGTAATATAAATAGAAACGTAACTTTCAACTTACTATTGCATAATTTATGCAAGATAAAAAATTACTAGTACAAGTCTTATACTACTGGGTATAAAGTTATTGATAATGTTGATAATAAGGTGAAATACTATACGTATTTGGGAATACTTTATTTGGAAGTGAGAGAGTGGGATCCGAAAAGAGGATGGAAAAGCTGACACAAAAGTCAAAATCTCATAACCGCCTAGGAAGGCATGAATGTCTGCATTTCCGAATACGGACCGATTGATGTTGACTTATTCATCTTTATACAGCCAAGAGATAGATTCTCCGTCTATGAATTCACTAAGAAGTGTATACTCGTTTACGATTCATGTAAAAATTCTTTTTACATGATAAAAAGTTCTCATAAAGATTTAGCTCAGAGCCGTAGAAACTAATCTTTGCAAATACGCCAACTCATTCTGTATCTCTTTCTACTCCAGATATTCTCCGCCCTGCTCTAAATCTACGCTATCTTTACTGGAACGCGGAAGCTGAATGTTTGAACCGAGTTATTAAATTCTCCGTCGAGGTCAGTTGGTGATTTCTGTTCTCTGAGAATTTTGCATTATAATCTGGTTCCGGGGCAGATTTGCTGCTTAATTTACAGAATAGGTGTGCTCCGGAGCAGATTAGCTGCTCAATTTGTGGACTAATGTTTAGGTTTAGGCCCTTAATTTGACCAGTAGCACTGTAGCAGATATTGTGCTATTATATTCCATTTATGTTATTGGCATTTCAAGTGTGTATAAATTTTGTTTCTTCTGTGCTTTTAAGTTAGGAAGATTGTAGCTTTGTGTCTTTTAGTGATCAGGTCGCCAGTTATGATGAGTTCATAACGTGAATGTTTATTTTACCTTGATTCTGGAATTGTGGGTTAATTACTCAAGGAGTAGCCGACTAGCTTAGAGCCTTAGAATATGATGGTAAGTAGACTCGGTCCTGCTCCTAGACCTACCATGATTGGGCTTTTTGGTTCACGGTCTTGGAGTTGGTTTTGTAACAATTTAGCCGCCCGTCTTGGCCCCACGCTCATTTTGAATGTCTATATGTATCCCCTCCTCAGTTGCTGTGGGGATGTTGAATCATTACGTTGAAATCATTCAACTGGGGTCCGGGGGACTTTCTCACTTTAAATTTATGATATCTCTCTACCTCGGTCCCTATCAGCCTCCATAGATAGGTTACTGGACATGTTGCTGTCGACCAGTTGTCTGGTTTTCTTTTATTCACTCACTTCCAGAATACATGTCTTACATCTTGTGCATGATTAGGTCTTTCATATGATGGGAGGGTTCACCAATCAACAATAGTTAAATGGATAAGAACATGTGGCAGTGCTAGAGGCTTTGCAATTTGCCAAGCATATTCATGGCATCTGCTGGCCCTGGCCATGGTGGCGCAGGGAGTTCTAAGAACACTAATGGATTCACAAGTTCAACTACTTCACTTGATTGGTTGGCAAGGGAAATGCTTCAGATGAGATTGAAGGACACGGTGGACCTTGATGATGATAGGGTGAGCTTCTTGATTGAATGTGTTACAAGCTTCCTCTAGTTTTGAAGTGCATCCTAACTGTATTAAGATAAATAAATGTGTAACTCTTAGAGGCTACTCCGTATTTGGTAAGGCTCAAAACAACTGAATTGGCTTATCTTGCTGAAATTATTCAAACTGTGGTTGAAATGGCTGAATCTATTGAATTTTAAGTTATTTGAGAATATGTGCTTACATTCATTAAAGATAATAATTTCTCAACATAATGGTTGAACCATCAATTTCAGCAACTTCAGCTGAAGCAGTAACATGTGCATTTTTTTATTTATTTAATTAACAGTTTTTTAAATTGGCAGTGTGAAATAAGTTAGTGTTGGGTGAAAAGCAGGTTGGTAAGGATGATAACCAAAAACACTAGCCTACCAACATGCTCTTAGTCTTAATCATTCCAAAGTACATAATGGCCATTTCTTTGCTGTATTATACTATGTATATGATTGCTAAATGGTGAGGTATTACTGCTTTCTCACTTGATACTAGTATATTACGCAGGATAGTGAGCCAGAGACGATTGAGGGTGTAGGTGTAGAAATTGGACATGTTATTCGAACTACTATTGGTGGTCGAAATGGCCGATCCAGGCAGGTTTGTGAACTAGTCTAAGGAAAGTACTTTTGTTGTGGCCAGGATGTTGCTTTGTGCCAATCTTACATGCAGTTTAACTTGTCTATATGGGGTTGGACAGAATGTCAGCTACAAAGCTGAACGTGTGATAGGAACAGGAGCTTTTGGTGTTGTTTTCCAAGTAAGCTCTGGTATTTGTTTTGGATAAAATATTCTCTTTAGCATTCGGTTATATACAATAGCTGCAGTCCTAATGGGTTAATGCAGGCAAAATACAGAGAAACCGGAGAAACTGTTGCGATTAAGAAGGTTCTTCAAGATAAGCGCTATAAGAACCGAGAGTTGGAGATAATGCAGATGTTAGACCATCCTAATATTGTCGCTCTTAAGCATTCCTTTTTCTCGACAACAGACAAGGAAGAGCTATATCTCAATCTTGTCCTTGAATATGTCCCTGAAACCGTTAACCGTGTTTCTAGGCAGTTCAGCAGAATGAACCAGCGGATGCCATTGATATATGTCAAGCTCTATACCTATCAGGCATGCCCATGAAATTCAGTGTTTTCTGCAAATTAGTTATAAACCTATGGATGTATCTGTTGAGTAATCTTGTTCGTCTACGATGTTCATGGCCAGCATTAGTCCTAATTAGTTGTGTGGTAATTCTATCACCAAATAGATTTGCCTCATAATTCTGTCACCACTACATTATTTTTGAAAGAACTGCACATTATCATCTTCCTATTTCAACTGCCTTGTGCGACTCCTATGAAGTCGGGGTTCTGTACTTCCATCTAAAAAGGCCAATGAATGGTTGGAGTGGCCCAAGGTCTTATGTGTGACTTTGTATGTTTATATTTTGCCGAAGTATGATGGCTTAAGAAAATAAATCTTGAAATCCGTTTCTTCGCTTTCAAGTCTTTGTTGGATTGCTTGCTTGCTTGAGCTAAATTAAATTAGCTATGCTATCATATCTGTACTTGAGATTGCCTAATAAAAGGTCAAAGTGATGGGTGGAGCTGCCAAGGGTCTTATATGTGAGTTCAAATGTATATGATGATACTATGGGCTTGTGGAATTACTCTTCATCAGTATATATTTTTCGATGTGGGATGACTTAACATCCCCAACATTGTAAATTAACAAATACGTGGCCATTGTTTTTATTCAACATAATTACTACAGCCTACACTTTATTATCACCTCCCTCCTCTCTGTAGAGAAAAGAATGTGTCAAAATTTTATACCACCAGGATCTTGATTATATTTGTACTGAATCTGAAAAAATTATAAGCTTCCTTTAGTATATCTCTCAAGATTCATCTCTATATGTGTGCAGATATGCAGGGCACTGGCTTATATCCATAAATGTATTGGCATTTGCCACCGGGACATTAAGCCTCAAAATTTGTTGGTTAGAATACTTCATTATGTTTGTTCGTATGAATGAAGTTGAGCATTTTACTTTTTCTAACTTATGAAAAATGTGAAAAATGAGCTGATGTAGTCCTTTAACAACCAGGTGAACCCACATACGCATCAGCTGAAAATTTGTGATTTTGGAAGTGCAAAAGTTTTGGTAAGTACTTAATTTAAGGAACTTCTTGAAAGCTGCATTCCGTAGATATCAAAACGGACAAAAAAGTGTGACAGCTGAACATCATTCTAGTTTTGGAGCGTGGCTTTGTAAAATTTCATTGTTAGTGTCTCTAAAGTAGTTATATTCTAACATATATCAGGTGGAAGGAGAACCCAATGTGTCATACATTTGTTCACGACATTATCGTGCTCCCGAGCTCATTTTTGGTGCCTCTGAATATACAACAGCTGTTGACATCTGGTCTACGGGATGTGTCATGGCAGAATTACTTCTGGGAAAGGTAATTCTAACAGTCTATTTGTATTTATAGTTCCATACTTTTTAACCATTAAATTTCTTTTCTAATCAATCTTTTACAGCCTTTATTTCCTGGAGAGAGTGGGGTTGACCAATTAGTAGAGATCATAAAGGTGGGTACTATTTCTGTTAGATACTGCAGACTTTTGACTGGTTCCTTGACTGAATCAGTTAATAATGGAAAAAGTAGTGCTAAGAAAGTAGCGCAGGATTAACTTCTTTTTCTGCTGAAATGGCTTGAATAGATGGCTCTTATTATTCTTTCTCCTATTTACTTCTGTAAATTTACTATACAGGTATTGGGAACACCTACTAGAGAGGAGATGAAGTGCATGAACCCAAATTATACTGAATTCAAATTTCCACAGATAAAACCTCATCCATTGCACAAGGTACTTGAGAATTTCTTAATATTTTCTTTTCCCACTTGTTCTATGGCATCAAAGTACAAGAAAGTGAGAAACATGATGTGTATCCTAAACACCTTATATAATGCCTGTTACTTGTTGATCACGAACCTTGCAGATTTTCCAAAAACAGTTACCTCCAGATGCATTTGATCTGGTTTATCGTTTTTTCCAGTACTCTCCACATTTGAGATGCACTGCTGTAAGTTTGCCTTTGTATGCAGTTTAATATTATCATTATTCGGTCCTGAATATGGTGTACTAATTTACTTAGTGATGGATTTGTTACTTTGGTTTGTAATGCAGTTGGAGGCTTGTCTTCATCCTTTTTTTAATGAACTGAGAGACCCGCATACCCGCCTCCCTAATTCCCTCCCTCTTCCACCGCTCTTCAATTTCAACTCTCAAGGTCATTTCTTTTGATTTTTCGTGTTTTATTATTATTACTGTTATTATTTGCTCCACTATCTCTTCTGAGTAAGTTGGACTTGTGGCCCGAATGAAATTTAGTCAGTTGCCTAAAAGTAGTTAACACTAACGGCCAAGGCCATGTTAGAAATACAGAACATGATAGGTAAAGGGGAAAAGTTGCCAACGAAAGAAGTAATGAATGCTTGGTTTTACATTGAAAATACAAATGAAAATCAAATTTGATTACAGGTCTTCATAAAGTTATACATTAGGTTTTAGGAAGTATTTTTTAGTCTTCATATACTTCATATATTAAGAAGTATTTTTTTAATATAAAGAGTTGAACAGCTATCTTAAATTGATTTATTGAGTTTGAACACATTTTTTCTTACTCCAAATTTCTCATCTATTCGACAAAAGAACCTAAAATTTCATGGACACACACAGAGTGACACTTTATGCGAGTTGCCCTACCTAATTACATAGGAATCTCACCCCCTTAGATATTGCTATAAATTGTGGAGATGATCACTAGATTCAGGAACTGAACTGCGTTAGCATATCTTTGCTACTAAATGGGTTATGGGTATTATATACGTAGTATATATGTTTTCTCAAAATAACTTTGTGTCCATCCATTAACAAATCTGTTCATATGCTTTATTATAGAGCTCTCTGACTTGTCTCCGGAAACTATTCATCGACTCATTCCAGAACACATTCGTAGACAGAACTGATTATAAGCATGAAAAGTTTCACTTCCCCCATCACTTGTTCTTAAGCTTTAGCAGCCTCATCAACTGGTTTGTTATCAGCAGCGAAACACTGGAGAGTTGTGCCGAATGAAGAGAGAGCAGTTTGTTTCGGGTTTTCTGTATTGTCTTCTTATTACTAGCTGACTGTATATTTTCCTATCACATTCTCTCGACTTGAACATAGATATATATGCACACAAGGTATATTGCTACTTTTTTATGACGTCATCTTACTTGCGGCTTTTCTTTTATACGTGTATTATCAGCTTCCTGGCCATTCAAACATAGCTCATGCCCCCTTTTGGTGCTGCAAATGCTGTGATATTTGAAGCTTTATGCTTTATTTTTAAGGGAAGAAGGGAGTCGGGATGTTGGATAGGGGTATTTGAATTTTCTTATTAATGAATCACATAAACGATAGATACATCATACATGTAAATCTATATTTAACATTTTGTACTTGCTATGTATATGCTGTGCTTTTTGTTTTTTCGTTGCTCTTTTAGTTCCTACAAGAGGGATGCTGCCGTAGTAGAAATTGAGTGAAATTTAGAAAAACCATTAGTTTTATTATAATTTTACAATCTCTCTTTAATTATAATACTACCTCCGTCCCATTTATATTGGGACGGAAGAGGGTGACACGGTTATTAAGAAAAGTGAGTTTGTGTGTATGGGTGGACTCGGGCCGGTTCGGGCCTGGGCCGGTTCGGGCCTGGGCCCGGCCGGGCCTCGGGCCAGAAAACTAGGGCCCGGGCCCGAACCGCCGGTGGGCGGTTCCGGGCCAAGCCGGGCCGGGCCAACCGGTATATATATATTTTTTTTGGTTCTCCTTTATAACCCCCTACCCCTCCCCCTCAACCCCAAACCACCCCAAACCACCTCAAATGGCCCAAAATACCTAATCCAACCCAAAACTTAAAAAAATTTCAAAAAAAAAAAAAAAAAAATTAAAATTCAGCCCGGACCAGGCCCGAACCGGCCGGGCCGGTTCACCAAAATCAGGGCCCGAGCCCGGACCGCCATCCCACCGGGCCGGGTGGCCCAAACCGGTGCACCAACCGGTTGACTGGGCCGGTCCGGGCCCGCACAGTAGCGGGCCGGTCTGGTTCCGGGCCGGTTGGCCCGGCCCGAGTCCAGCCCTATTTGTGTGGTTGATATTAATTGATAAAGTAAGAATAAAGTAAGAATGATTTGGAGTCACACAAACTTTGTCAAATATGATATGAGACAATTTAAGTGGGACTTCCCGAAAAGGTAAAACAGGACAATATAAATGGGACGAAGGGAGTACTAAATTGCATCTTAGCACTTACTCATCATCATCATCACCCCGTGTCGCAAAGGCCCCGAATAAGGGAGGTTGGATATGTGCAGTCTTACCTCTATATTAAAGCACACATAGATTGTTTCCATGTAACCAATAGTTAACTTTGTGTCAAAAATTGCATGGACTGACTGATGTCTCATAAAAAATAAGCGCTGACAGTTTAGTAGGTCATATGGCTTCATTCTGTCATATTTTTAATTCAAAAAATAGTGAGTCTTTGACTTCATTGCAAATGACGGAAAGCAACTTAGCACTTGCGGGAAAGGATGAAATTAGGCATAAAAATGATAAAATCAATGAGGTGAACAAACGTTCCCTTTCAAAAGGGTCTATAGGGGTTTAGAGCATTTCCAATAAGGTGTGAATTGCTCCCCATAACAAGGTACAAGCAATCTATGACTTTAGATTGATAGATTGATAGCAATCTTGTATCAATACATTTTATCTTTCAGGTTCTGAATTGATAATTATCGATTTAACAAGTTTTCCATCAAAAGGCTCATACTTTTGTGCATTCCACTACATGATATGTGTCTTCATTTTCATGACTGGAATCAGGGACTTATCTTACAATTTAACTTCCATATTTGATAAACGATTGATAGTAATTTGAGACCCTAGCCTATGTGAGTTACTTGCGAGCAATAAAATTAGATTTTTATCAAGTTCAGGGCGTGAGTTGACCTTTTTATAATTGGGCAACCAAAAAGGCACAAAGGCTGGTTTGGGCAACCAAAAAGGCATAATAGCATATTTAGAGCCCGTTTGATAGCACAAAAATCGGCTGGTTTGGTTGATTCTGTTGCAATGTATGAAGTTTTGGTTGAAGTGGCTGCATTGACTGATTCTGCTGATTTAAGAAAAAATTATTTTTAAAATATATTTTATGAATAAAATAAAGGAAAAATTATATGTAAAAATAGTGTATATATAAAGCACCACATTTTTCAATAATTTATTTTATTGACTTCTGAGTCAAAGTTTTGGATAAAATTTTGTGAGGATGTTCTACACTTCATAAAGATCACAAAATTTTATAAAAAATCTTGACCCGAAAATCTCTCAAACAGGCTTGGCCGGATGGTGGCTCCCGTCAATCCGGACTGACCAAATCATTCCTCATACCTCTATAAAGCAAAATAGCAAAAAATATCATTCATAAAATTAAAGTGCTAATTCACAACTACTCATGGCGCATTTTCATGTGTTTAAAATGTTGTGCAATTTTTTCTTTGTTAACACTTTTATATATATCCTTTTCAATATAATAAAAGTAACTAAGGCATCGTTCATTAAAGCACCTTCCATTCGATTGTGCAATCGGTTCTTCTGTGATTTCACCCCTTTCCTTGCAACGATTTGGAGTTGAATTGTTTGAGTAAGAGTTGTGCCGCCCAAACTTTTCTTTTTGGAGTGGAGTGACTTTTCATTTTTTTAAGTTATTGTTTCTACTTTTAAAATATATACATTGACCCCAACAATTTTTTAAAAAATTCTCTAAATAATTCTATAACATGGATAAGATTCATAAATAGTACTACTAATATTTTATTCCCAAAACAAGACACAATAACTCATATTTTAAGAAGTTTTAATCAAGTTATTCTTTTAAAAAGACTAAATAAGTCTTATTTGGAGAATAAAAATAAACATACTTAGTCCTATTTTTGAACTTTCTATATGTTTTGGTCCTAAATTGAACAATTTGTATTTCTTAAATGGTGGTGTAACTTCTAATTTTTTGAAAGATTACATATAACTATATGTAGATTATTTTGTTAGGACTTTTTCTGGTGTCCAATCCTGATAAATATCTTTGTATTTGTGTAGCTATTTTGTCTAGATATTTCAGCTATTATTAGACTAGCTTTCTTAGGAAGTGTGTAAAGTGTGTTATTGGGCCCAATCATTAAAAGAGCCCAATCATGCTTAGGTCACATCACACATTCCCTAGGCATATAAATATTGCCTTTAAGTGAATGTGCAAAGAGGCTTTTTACACAGATTATTCTGAGTGCATAACATTCTAGTGAGAGAGAGAGAGAGCCGATAGTTTTGTTTTCGATACCCATATTCTGTATTGCGAAATCTTTGTTTGGTATTGAATCAAGCTCCGTTCTTCTCTTCTCTATCATATATTGTTAGATTGATTGTTGATACAGGGACAAACATATTTTATTCAGTGGTGTCGATTTTAAATTTTTAAAAAATTATATAAACCTACATACAAAAAAGAAAAATTTCTTTTTATGCATGTAATGTTTTATATGAAGTATGAAGTAATGTAGCATCGTGTATATAAAATGTTCTTTAAGCTTGAGAGTCGTAATAACATTATAATAAATATGTGGTTATGTTCAATGATTTCTCATACTCATCTTACAGTGGATTTATCTTGGGAATAACAAGTCAATGAGACAATGAGGCATAAACAAGAATATAAAACTACCCCATAATATAAAGACATGAAAACATAAATCACTCACTAATTATGCATATTAATCTTTGATATGTAATAGAACTAGGTTGAATTATTGGAAGAAAATGATATTAAAAGCCATATGAATTTCAAAAAGTGACAAGGTACACAAGTATATTAAATGCCACATGAATTTTAAAAATTAAAACTGTAAGCTACAGCCTACAAAGTTGTATTTATGTATGCATAAACTTTAATTATAAACAGTGCATTATGTCATGAAGATCATGTTTAAAAATAATGATATATGATTTTTCTTATTAGATTCACCTTTTTAAAATGAAATCTCAAGTCATCATAATATAACACCAAAGCTAATTAAATTCAAATAAACCATCATCCTACTACGAATTAATAACGAGCACAAATTAATATGCCCCAATGAGCAATTGGATTATTATATACTCTCTCCCGGATAAGATTTGTCTCATCTTTCTTTTTCGGTTCGTCCCACTAAAATTGTTCCATATCAAATTTAGTAAAATTTATGTAGATTTTAATAATTTTTACTTTATCATTTCAATATCAATCATATAAATTTTTCTTGAATATCATACCACCTCATCATGTTCTTACACTAGTGAGATAGAGATACTATAAAAAATTACAAGTCAAAACATGAAAGTATAAAACATTTCACTACTTCTCATGTTGAGCGGCCCAAAGGGATAGTAAACCATCTGTGTTGTATGTATTATAGGCCATCGCACCCTTTCGGCCCACACATTTTAAAACGAAGAACATAAACCGTTGGTTCACGTGAACTCGGTAACTGTGTGATTGATTAAGTAGCCCTCGCTCTCCTCCTCTTCTCCCCTTATCTCTTCCCCTCCTTTCTCCGGCCAGGGTTTTGTTTTCTCCGTCTGCCGCCCCTATCCAAGCTCTCTCTTCAAACGCAATAAGCCACAGTTAGATACCCTGTAACTCAGCGTTTAATCCATGGCGTCTTCAGCAGCTCAAGTTCACGCTCTCGGAGCTACTTATTTCACCAACAACCAGTCCTCTTCGAGCAGGACTTCGTTCAGGAAAGTGTTTTTGGGACAGGGCTTAAACAACAGAACGTTTTCGTTCGGATCCAAGCTCACGAGGGGCAACTTCCGGCGCAGGAATGCAACTATCACTCCGTTGCGGGTTGTTGCCGAGAAAGTGGTCGGGATTGACCTCGGGACGACTAATTCGGCTGTGGCTGCCATGGAAGGCGGAAAGCCGACTATTGTGACGAACGCCGAAGGGCAGCGGACCACTCCTTCGGTGGTGGCGTACACTAAAAACGGGGACAGGCTTGTCGGGCAGATTGCTAAGCGCCAGGCTGTTGTTAATCCGGAGAACACTTTTTTCTCGGTGAAAAGGTTTATTGGGAGGAGGATGTCGGAAGTGGATGAGGAGTCTAAGCAGGTTTCCTATCATGTATTAAAAGATGAGAATGGAAACGTGAAGCTTGAGTGTCCGTCTATTGGCAAACAATTTGCCGCTGAAGAAATCTCTGCTCAGGTATAATCACATCGTCTACTTCCTCTAATAATGTGGATTTCATGCGTCTGCATTTGTAATTATCTACCTTGTGGCTTTGCTACTTGTTCAAGTGAATATAAAGTGGCATACCCTGATAAAGATTCTCCTGGATGTAATTTTGAACATTAAAATTGAGATTTAAGGTGCAT